GAGCATCTCTTTCTCTCCAGAAAGGGCCTTGTTGCGGTCAGCAGACTCCATCAACCGGTCATGGAGATCGTTCGTCTTAGCGACGGTCTCTCGTAGTTGAGTGAGAAGGCGAAGATTACTCTTCTCGATAGCCGAGATTGATCGGCCAGAGCTTGCAAGAGACTGCTCGATGAGGGGCGCAAGCTCGACCATTCCCTGCGGGAATACATAATTGGTAATGTTAGAATGCTTAACAAGCGAAAGATGAGGGATAAAAAGGGGAGATATGCAGTGAGAAAAAGAATATGTTACCTGAGCTAGCCAGCGGGCAAGCCGTTGACCGCGATCGTGAAGGGTGTGGCCATCGTTGAATTGGTCGGTAGGACGGTCAACGGAGGGAAGAACTTCCCTGAGATAACTTGAAAATCCTGGACCATCAAGGGTTGTGATCGACAGGGCAGTCTCCTCAAGGCGGCGGCGTTTCGCCATATTTTCGTCCTCTTCAGTAGAAGAGCGCTTCAGTGGATTCGCCACTGCCTGAGTTGAACGGGGAGAACTCGGGATGTGCACGATCGTGACAGCTGGGTCGCGTGCAGGAGAGCGTTGCGAAGGAGATGAAGGTGATGGAGAAGACGGTTTCTCGAGCTGTTCTGATTGCTCGATAGGTTGTTCAGTTGGAAGGCTGACTGAGGGAGTTGGCTCAACAGCTATGTTTGGGGAAGGCGAGGTCGAGGGCACAGGTTGTGCAGTGGTGGAGTCAGTAGGCTTGGAGCTCGACCCCTCAACCGTTGTTTTCTTCCTCAAAGGAGCCTTCCTTCTCGGTAGAGAAATAGTAGGCATTTCTGCAAAAAGTTCATATACAAAGTTAAAGATACAGTAGATGTATAATACGTAAAACTAACACAATGACGCTCAAGCCTGATCAGTCGCGACACATACCTGGATCACCATTGATTTGGATACGATCTAAAATTTTTTGGCTAGGAGGAGGACAGGTCTTGTGGGAAAGTAAGCCACAAAACTGAAGGAGATTCTCATCTTCGAGAAGAATCTTCGACGCAACGGGCTTGCTATTCCATACAGCAATCCGTTGGTCGAAGAGGGCGTTGGGTGGAGGTATAGAGTATTCACGGGGAAGTTCCTTTAGCCAAGGAGAGGGAGCCCAAGGAAATGCAGGTTTGGGCTCGATAAAGGCAAATTTGTGCTTCCATTTGGGAACATTTGAAGGGGTGTCAGAAATGAAATGGACATCGTTACGGCTCTTGAGATAGATTCCCTGAGCATGTTTAGAAGGAGTATAGCAATAATGGAAGAAATCCAAGTCGAGCCGTCCTAGACGAATGTGGCAGAGGATGATGAAGACGGTGATAAATCGGATAGCATTAGGGGGAAGTTGGTTCAGGGGCAGATCGAACCACTTGCAGAGGTTGACCAAGTCTTGGCTTAGAGGAAAGCGGATACCTAGTTTAAATTGCACCTCGAAGAAAGTGTAACAGTTCGAAGGGGGATTATCATAAGTATCGCGAGGGCCGGGAGATACGAAAGCCCAGCCGACAGGATAGCCGATGTCTTCGGCATCTAGCCAGCCGGCTATGAGGGAGCGTGGAGAGGAGGAGGCTTTCTTCGAAGAGGTAAAGGTCTTGGTCGACTTACCCTTATTAGGGGTAGCAGCGGTGGAGGAGTTCGGAATATCCTTCTTAGGGTTGGGAGAAGGAATAGCATGAGAGAAAAAGGAATGGCGAGAGAGGGGAATGTTATCCTCATCCGCCTCAGCAGCAGCCTCGGTGGCATCGAGAGCCTCCTCGGCCGCATCAGAAGCTCCGAACGCTGGCCGACGACGTTTGAGAGGGATATGGTCAAGAACATCCTCGTCTGATTCGTCAATCAGACGAGTGGGTTGGCGAGGAGGTGAAGGAGGAGAAGGTGTAGCATAATCGGAAGGGCGTAGAACACTGAGGGGAACGGGGTTGTCGATTTCATCGACGGAGTGAGAAGGTGAGTGGGGAATAGGCTGGCGAACGGGAGAAGACGACGTGCTTGTCCCATCTTCACTGAAGGAATCTGAAAAATAGAACAAAAATTGAGGGAAAGAGAAGAGGAATTAGGGTTTTGAAAAGCAAGAAAGGGGGTTTTTCTCTTTGCCGTAAAGAGAAACGAGAGGAATTGGTACAAATAAGGAAGCAATAGAAAATTCGAAGAATCGACAAAACACACACAAATGTAAAGTTGGAGCACAGAAGACTTACTCATGATGGCAGTAGAAAATGGTCGCCGGAAATAGCTTGATTAAGAAATGCCGAGAGAGAAACTTGCAGAGAGAAAATTTAGAGCACGAAAGGGTCTGAGATTTGCAAAGAGTGAAGAAAGTTAGAAAATTTGCTAAGTGTTGTATTTATGTGAGCACAAGTGAATAAGGTGAAAAGTTAATGGATATGGCCGTTAGATAAAAGCAGATCTAACGGTGGGGATGTTAAAGGAGCGCAGATAACGAAGCGGCCCAAAGAGCGAGGAGGTGCGATGATGAAAAGCGCAGAGAGAAAAGACGCGTAGCGTGTGGAAATCACGCTGACAAACAAAAAAGAAATAAAGACAGTTATAAGGCGCATTAAAGTGGACCACGTGATCGAACGGAGAAGCCAGAAGGTGACGTCGACGACAGATGGTCGATAAAAAGTGATCGAGTGATAAAGCTAGATAGAGACATCGACAAGAATGAGAGAGAGCAAAGGTGATCAAGCGAAAAGGACGAGTGGTGAGGTCGACAAAAGTTGATCGATCAGAAGGAATCTGGACGGCAACACAAACAGAATATGACTGACAGGGAATGGAGAAGACGGCTCGAATACACTCTTGGGTCGAGTCATTTAGACTCGACCAGAGTGGGGGGGGACTAGATGATATGGGATATCATATGTTTAGAGAAGAAACCGGTTCGTTGAGCCGACCTGGTGATAGAACTTGTAGAGGATTGAGCCGACTAATGAAACTCGGACAGATCGAGCACTGGTTGAAGATGCTCGAGCGTATGTAGAAGATCGAGCTCTAGTCGAGGATATTCGAGCAGAGAGGTAGATCTGATCGAGGATCGAGCATCAGTCAAGGATGTTCGAGCAGAGAGGTAGACTTGGTCGAGGATCGAGCACGCGAGAGTGAAGGGCCACCACGTGGAAGCACGTGGAGCTTGCGGGGAAGATCCATAAGAATATTTAAAGGAATGATCCTTTTATTCTGAAGGACATGTGGCGAGAAGACATTAGTTTATGATGTTAGTGGCACCTCTTTTGTCCCTGACACATGCAGGTGTTATGGGAAAAAGGAGAAGACAATTGTAAGTGGACAATAAAGCAGATCTGGGTGGAAAACCAGGTATGATGTCCATACGCTGATATATATAGCGGAAAATCGGCAGGAAAGAGGTATCTTGATTATTTTTTATGAACATACTATCACTGAAAAATAAAAGAGACTGACTTAAGCATCGGAGGCTCTTCCACCGGAAAAAACCCCGGTGTGAGAGTTTCTTTGCAGGACGCAGAGACCAACCGGCGAGGAGAAGAAAGACGACTTGATTCCAAACCGACGAATCGGCGAGGAGAAAGAAGACGATTCTATTCCAAATCGGTCGGGATATTTTTGCGTTACCACATATATATAGACGGTTATCTCATGGCCAGTTGTCGTAAAATATTACATTAATTTACGGTTGTTTACACGGTCGAAGATCGAGCCTCAAGGCTCGATCAGACGAGGTAGGAGATCGAGCCTAATAGCTTCGATCACATGAGATCGAGAATCGATCCCCTCGGACTCGATCACGCAGGTGAATCGATTTTAAGGGCTATGACCCTTATTTCGGGTGGTTCGACTTACGTGTAGCTGTATCCCTATCACTTGTTGTGAGAAGGTTTTACGTGGTATTGTTATACTGAAGAATTCAATCTACTCGTTCAACTGGTTTTTACCATGGGATTGGCACATACCCGTACGTACGTGTGATCTAATGTTAAAAAATTGATGAGGATGGTTCATGTAGTGTCAAATTAGAATTCTATTAAGAATGAAAACTCAAAAAGAGTACATTCGAGGTGTCAACTGACACCACTAGAACAAGTACAAAAGACTGGAACCAACTTCCTTCGGATTACACACGCGACTAAGAGGATACAAATTAACTCCAAAAAAGAAACTAAAAAACTCAATGAAGAAGACTAAAACGAGATGTAGATGGACTAGAGCTAAAAACAAAAAGAAAAATCAAACAAAGCAACTACCACACACACTTAAAAGATACAATAAAGCCCTCCCGACCAACGTCTAATAACACCTACGCTACAACCTTCTAATACAACAAAATAAAGGTAGCCTACAAAGAAGAGCCCGATCTCAGTCAAGAATTCTAGTCCAAAAACTCCAAACTCCATAACTAGGAGTGAGCAAAACCGAGCCGAAACCAAAAAATCGAGATGAACTGTGTAGTTCGATTCGATTGTTTTAATATAAAAAAATTTTGGTTTGATTTCGATTCGGTTTTTTTCTACATTGCGGTGCGGTTATAGTTTTTCATAAGTTTGGTTTTCGGTTTTGTTCGATTCGGTTGCACCGAACCACACCCAATTGAATAAAATGTATAGAAAAGTCGAGATAAAACCAAAAATCGAGCTGAAACGCACCGAATTGCACAGTTCAGTTCGATTTTTCGGTTTTAGCTCGATTTTTGTTTTGTCTGAATTTTTTGGTTTGGTTTGGTTAATTTTGAAAAAGGTACTCCTATTAGTTGTTAAATGATATATTAATATTTAAAATAAAATAAATGAAGTTGATTTGATATAAAAGTAGTAGATATGATTAGAAATGATTGTGAGTTAAAATTAGGTGAGTAGATAAATAGTGAATTAAAGTTGACGTAGTGAGTAAGAGTGATTGGTTGATATTATTTAATTATATTAATTACATTAAAGATGACAAAATTGAGTTAGAATTGAGTTAAAAGAAAGTGATCTAATATAAGAGTGATTGCTCACTGTTACTGAAGCTCATTAAATTTCTTCACTGTAGAGTGTAGAGTCAATGAATAAGCTGAGATGGGCGATGGACGGCGGGGTTTGGGATGTGGACGTATCTACGCCGGCGACGGTGGACGGAGTAGCCCGTCCCGTCTCAGGGGTGACTCTTCCATTGGGATTGAGCCGCGGAGCAAGGCTGTCTCGACCCAAACAGGCTGATTTCTTCCAGCGCTTCATGGCCATGCCGTTTATCCCCTCTTTATCCGGCGCGGGCCTCTCTTTCCAGCGCGCCCTATCTCTCCCTCTCCCCGACAACTGGTACTCCTTTCTTCATCCTCCCTATATTAGACCTGCCAATTTCTTTGACTATTAGGTTTTCTGAACCTCCCCCAAATCTAAGACGGTGGACGATTTTAATTGACCTGGTGTAAAAATCTCTCTTTTTTTTATTTTTATTTTTCACCAGTTTCTCTTTTTAGTCTATTTTCTGCATAAAGAAAGCACAAATTCTTGTGTGAGTCGGGAACTAACAGTTAAGCTGCCATTTTTTAACAAATATGAATACTTAGAAATGTCATACTTTTGGTTACATATAATGTATGTCACATGTAATTTTTTTTTCCTAAAGACAACAATCCTTGCAGTTCAAACTTCAAAGAGGCTGATCGAGTCATCTTATGAAAGTATGAATGTCTTGAAAAAAGTATAGCCCGCGTAACAGTCTTACTGTTAATAAATATATATTGGGCATTGATCGGTTATTTGGTAAATTTTAAATTATGTATACAGTTTAGTCTGTGATGGTTCTCTCTCTATATATATACAGAAATATATAGTATTTAAGAAGTTTTAATCAACTGAGCAACGGTGGAACCATGAAACATGTAGCTTCTGTTAAATGGCCTATCCATTTTTCATAACCTTTCAGATAACAGTTAAAAGTGATGCAGGTTTTCTGCATTCCTTGGACAGTTCAATGTGCACAAGTTTGTAACTTCCCTCAAAAGGAATGAAGTCAGGCAAGAGACACTTGGGTCCTCTTTGAAGAGCATTTGGGGACACCTTTCAGACCCCAACTTATATGCCGTCAACTTCCTTTTAGAATGGCTGTTAACACCTGAAGATAGGGTGCAGCTTGGTTTTGAAACACAGGGTTATGGCAAGAACCCCAGAAGGAAGGCGGTATTTCACCACAAGGCACGCGTGTATGACTATGAGTGTTGACCACTCCAATAAAATTTATTCTTTACTATTCTGTGAAGCAGTATACTTTTCAGTCAAATCTATATAAATGTTACATTCTTTCAGTTTCCTAATCATGATCTCGTTGTGGAGGCAAGCTCACCAGCACTTTTTGTTGATCGTTTTGGTAAATACTGGGATGTTCCATTCACGTTGTCGGTGGACGTTTCATCATTAGCTTCGGATTCTAGTACGAGTTGTCATTTCTGCATCAATCACACGATGGGTTCTCCTAAACAGTGTGAGGGTGAGCCCGTGAATACTCCAGTGCCTCGTGGTTTATTTCCGGGCCTCTGTGGAAAATGTGCATATTCCTATAAAAAAGATTTTGACTTGTGGAGGAGTGAAGCGCCAAAGACGAAAATGGTGCTACCATATGATATATTCCTCTCTACTCCCCATATCTCTGCTTCAGCACTCCTAGGTAAGAGCGTTCTATGTTCGTGTGACTGTGATTTACTGAAGTTTGTCGAAGAAAAGCTAGTGTTTACTTTAGAGATACAGTTTTAATTATTCAGCAGTGATTAGGTGGTAATTGAAGATAGGTCTGTAATTAATGGTTCCGAGCATCTGAGGTGTGGCGGACCTAGAGCAGGCCAAGGGGGGCTGTGACCCACTAGAAGTTTCTGAAAATGGAAAATCGTATATGCCTCCAATAATTATTTTAAACAAACCACTGGCATTTGAGACCTTAAAATGTCTATAATTTTATATAGTTATTTTTTCCCTATAAAATGCATCCTGAGAAATTTTCCACCATATATTTGTGTTTTGCGCTGATTTCTATTTTGTCAAATTTCTAGAGTTTTCTTTTTTTACAATTAAATGCTCCTTATGATTATGTCTTTTATGACAAGTGTTTTGAACAAGAGTCTTATGTCAGTAAATTGAACTAGAATTGTGAATATAAGAAAACCTTGAGTATCATTCATAGTTAGTTAGTTCTGCTTCGTTATTGTTCATTGGGCCCTACTTGAAGAAATTCCTCTCTTCTAAGCTTGGTATTTTATTTTCTATTTTCTTTTCCTTAGTAAATAAGACAACGGGGACTTGGCCTGCATTCAAGAGATGTAACCTAGACATTTAATAAGAGTTACTGTTTTGGAGCTGTGGGGCATGCATGAGTATGTTGAGACGGATATTATGTGCATGTTTATATGATTTAGCCTAAGCCCCTGAAACTAAACCAATCACTTGCACATTTGTTTTGTTATTGCCAAATCAACTTCCATAGCTTCCTCTAAAATCCCACGACTGTTATCTTCTTAATCTTTAAAATTTAGGTACTGTAATCACCGCATCTCTTGGAGACAATTCAACAAGAGCCCATGAGGAAGATGAATCATTCGGCTTACAAGCCCGAGGAGCATACTCCGCCCTTTCAGCTGATCTTTTTGCATCTGCATCACTTTCGGCTCAGCATGGAAACTTCCAGAAGCCTTTTCTGGATCTAACTCGCTTTTATGCACGTCTCGACATTCCTTCTGGGTCAAAGTTCTTGGCCGGTGCCTCTCAAGTGGCATCGGACCTTTGCAGTTCTCGAGTACCCAGTTTAGAAGCATTTCAGGCAGTTTGTCCTTCTGCGAGCCTTTCGTTTCAGCAGCAGGTATTTTTCCAATAACAGCCTCTGCTGAGAAAGGGCGACTTTTACACTTCATGTCTTGCAAAATGAACGGCGAATAAGGCATAATTGCTATTGTTTTCACATTTTGCTCATATTTTTGGTTAAGTTGTGAGATAATCTCTAATAGAAACCTTGAGGTTTGACCGGAAAAAATAATACATAAATAAATATGAATTAAAACAATGCTTTCGAGACCTCACAAAGGGGTATGTTTGGTGTATCTAGCTGATAGTTGATAGCTAATAGCTTATATGTGAATTTTGATCTTATCGTTGACATTAATAGTGTTGGGTAAAATTACTTATTAGTGGAAATAAAAATTTTAACAGCCTTTTTTGAAAAACTATGTAGAAAATCTCATCCTACTAAACCAAGTTTATTTGAATACATAAAAACTTGTAGGCTAACTAAATAAGCTATATGTTGGCTTTGACTTATTGTGCTTACCAAACATATTCTAGATCTGGTGAAAATGATAGAAACGAGAGGACCTAGGAGAGTTTGCTGCTAATTGCAGTTGTGCGCTTGTTCACTAACAATTTTATGTCGTAAAGTTAGTAAGTTACAGTAGCTCCAAAGAAAATACACTTTAGACTCGCGAATGTTGGCAGAAATGCTTGATTTGGGTTTTACTGTAAATGCAGATAGCCGGACCTTTCAGCTTCAGAATGGATGCTGGAGTAACTGTTGACCTGAAGAAAGAATGCTATGTGAACGTGAATGATCCTGTATTTGCCGTTGAATATGCTTTGCAAGTTCTTGCCTCGGCAAAAGCCATAGCTTGGTACTCCCCGAGACACAGAGAGTTCATGTTAGAATTACGATTTTTTGAGACCTAATGAGGGGTATCTGTGAACAACGATTCTTGCTCATGGAATATGATACTTTTTTATTTATTCATTTCTTTTTTACCTATGTGATGGCTATTGTGAACAACGATTCTTTCTCATGGAATATGATTCTCGCTCAAAATCTAACTCAACTCAACTCTCCTTAATATAATCAATATAATTAAATAATATCAGTCAATACATTTTTACACATTACATCAACTTTGATTCAATAAAAAAAATTATAAACTTTTAAAAATAAGAAGAATACAAATTCATGAATATTAATATTATAAGAATTTAATAAGAAAAAGACAGTAGTATATTATAATTTAATGATAGAAAACATATATTAGTTTATGGTAATTTTCAATAATTAATTGTCAAAACCAAGCATTTATGTGTCAATACGAAACACTAATTTATACCCATCAGCTTACGAAGCGTGCGAGTCTACCACATAAACTCAACATATTTGAAATTATGGGAGTTTCAAAAATTTATATATAATTTGCAATTTATGAAACTTTTATGCTTTTTCATGCAATTAAGTCCATTATAAATAGCATTTTATTTATTTGTTATTATTATTTTTATATCAAATTAGTTATTTTATGATTTATGAATTTGTCAATCATATTATATATATATATTAGATTGCTTGTTCAGTTTTATGATTTTTTTTCAGTCTTATGTTTAATATCAATGCTGCAACATAAAATAAAATAAATAATTATATATATATATATATTTATAAAGGGAAAAAAATGTTCCATGAATCTTATGGTACTACAAATGAAACTAGTACCCATCAATAAAATAGCATTACATTATTGATTATACAGCATTGATAAGCATATTATACCGGTTAAAAAGTTATAAGCAAATATCATTTAAAACTAATTTTGAGTAATAAAAATAATGCTTTTAATTGTGAAAGAAAAAAAGATCTGGAGAAGGGGATGAGATTTAACGGTTGAGATTACTCGTACGTGATACCAGTTAAAAACTTGTAGTCGCCCTCAGACCCACAGGGCCCTTGTCTGTCTCCCTCTACCCCGAAACCCTTTTGCCCTTCTCTCAACGCATGCACATTGCGCAAGCTTTAATCTCACCACCGTGGAATTCCTTCACTCAATTAAACTCGTGCAACAGGCTAAAACCCATAGGTATTTCTTAATTCTACTGGGAATTTCCCAAAATTTTGTGATTGTTTCCGTGGGCGATTTTGGTTTTTCGAGCACCGAGATGTTATCCTTTTAAACTTTTCTTGTTAGAGTTTGTGTATTGTTATCACACTGTTGTATGCGTTCGTGTCCCTGTGTGTGTGTATTCATCTGTATCTATTCCGCCATGTAGATTTGTGGAGTACTGTACTCTTAGAGGCGACCGTTTTGTCTTCTCCATGTTTGTTGTAAATGTTATCGTTTCACGATGCATTTCTTTTTATGTTATGGGGTTGATTTGATTCTGAGAGAATTTTTCCGCCCTACATAAAAGTTTGTTGCTTGGTCTGTGCAGTTAATTCGATCTTTTGGCCAATTCAGTAATGGCCGCAAAAAAAATCATAGCCATATGCCAATCTGGAGGGGAATTTGTGACCAATAAGGACGATGGGTCGTTGTTTTATACTGGTGGGGATGCGTATGCCCTGGACCTCGACCAGCAGACCCCGTTGAAAGATTTCAAGCATGAACTTGCTGAGACTTTTCAATGCAGTGCAGATGCCATGGCGCTCAAATATTTCCTCCCGGGGAACAGAAAGACATTAATTACAATATCCAAGGATAAGGATCTCAAGCGAATGGTTAACTTCTTCAAGGACTCTGATCAAGTCGAGGTCTTTGTAATTGCTGAAGAAGCTGGCGCTAGGAACATGTCCAACATGCCCGCCAGTAGGTAGTTCCAGAACCCTCCTCTGTAATTCCATAACTATTTTTTTCTATATGCTATTGCTTAGATAGAATGAAATCGAGGAAAATGTCATTTATTTGCTATTGCTTAGATAGAATGAAATCGAGGAAAATGTCATTTATTGTGACAATTTTTATGTTGAAGCGAATGGAAGGTATTGGGATTTGATTGTTTACTGAAATGGAGTTCTGTGTTTAGAGTTTTGAAATGTCATTTGCTCTTATACTCAGGTCTAGCAGGACAACTGTGTCTGAGGCAGAAATTCCCACTGATGTCCCTGTGGATGTTATGCAAACTGATGATGCAATTGTTTTGGACGAGCCTATTGATATAACACCGCTTGGCTCGTGTCCTCTTGGCATTGAGGAGAAGCACCGGCGGGCAGCAACTCAGTGGGAAAATATCATCACAGGTGTCGACCAGAGGTTCAACACTTTTGCTGAATTCCGTGAGGCATTGCATAAGTACTCCATTGCCCATGGTTTCACATACAAATATAAGAAAAACGATAGCCATCGCGTGACCGCCAAGTGCAAAACAGACAGCTGTCCGTGGAGAATATATGCATCTAGGTTGACGACCACTCAGTTAATATGTATAAAGAAAATGAACCCCGTGCATACTTGCGAAGGGGCCACTGTGAAGGCTGGTTATCGGGCAACTAGGGGATGGATAGGAAGCATCATAAAGGAGAAACTGAAAGTTTCTCCGAATTATAAGCCGAAGGACATCGCCAGTGATATCAAGCGTGACTATGGCATTCAGCTGAACTATACACAGGCATGGCGTGCCAAGGAGATTGCAAGAGAACAGCTTCAGGGTTCTTATAAAGAGGCCTACTCCCAGTTACCTTTTTTCTGTGAGAAGATAATGGAGACTAATCCGGGTAGTCTCGCCACATTCAGCACGAAGGAAGATTCTAGCTTCCGCCGATTTTTCGTAGCGTTTCATGCCTCTATATCTGGGTTCCTTCAGTGCCGTCCTCTTATTTTCCTAGATAGCACTCTTCTTTACTCCAAGTATCAGGGAACCTTATTGGCTGCAATGGCTGCAGACAGTAATGATGATTTCTTCCCGGTAGCTTTCTCCGTGGTCGATGAGGAATCCGAGGATAACTGGCACTGGTTCCTCTCTCAACTGAAATCTTCTCTCTCGACCTCAGAGCAAATTACATTCGTGTCCGACTTTCAGAAAGGCATTAGAGAATCCTTAATTAATATTTTCGGCAAGGAGTGCTATCATGGCTACTGTTTACGCTGTCTTGCCGAGAAGCTTAATAAGGATTTGAAAGGGCAGTTTTCTCATGATGCCAGACGCCTCATGGTTCAAGACTTCTATGCGGCTGCCTATGCACCGAAAGTCGAGGTGTTCGAACGGTGTGTCGAGAACATAAAGGCTATCTCAGTCGAGGCTTATAATTGGGTCGTGAACAGTGAGCCTGACCACTGGGCTAACGCGTTTTTCGCCGGGGCGCGATATGGCCATATGACTTCCAACTTTGGCCAGCAGTTTTACAGTTGGGTGTCTGAGGTGGACGAGCTGCCTATAACGCAGATGGTTGACGTGCTGCGTGGCAAGATTATGGAGCTGATCTACAGGCGGCGGCTCGAATCCAACCAGTGGGTTACGAGGCTTACGCCTTTTATGGAGGGTAAACTTCAGCTGGAGGTATCAAAAGCAAGTTCCCTTCAAGTTTTACTCTCACACGGTAGTACTTTTGAGGTTAGAGGTGAATCGGTCGATAATGTTGACATTGATAATTGGGACTGCAGCTGCAAAGGCTGGCAGTTGACTGGGTTGCCTTGCTGCCATGCTGTTGCTGTTCTGGAATGTCTCGGGAGAAGCCTTTATGATTACTGCTCGAGATTCTTCATGACTGATTGTTATCGACTGACTTATGCTGAGTCAATCAACCCAGTGCCGAATGTTGAGAAACCGGAGAAAAGTGAGTTGCAGGAAGTAACTATTGTAACGCCTCCTCCTACCAAACGACCGCCTGGGAGGCCTAAGTTGAAGTTAGTTGAATCCGTGGATATTATTAAACGCCAGCTCCAGTGCAGCAAGTGCAAGGGATTGGGGCACAATAAGAAAACTTGCAAGTAAGTTTCTCTATGACTTTGTCTCGTATTATTTTCTGTACTTAATGGGTTTATGCTTGAAATTGAGATGAAATTTGGGTTTATGCTTGAGATTGAGATGAAATTTAGGTATTTCTAGTTTCCTGTGAAAATGATGAAAGCAATAGGGTGAAGATACCCGACTATAGTCAACATTTAAACTCAACCTTTCTAAGTTGGTCCTCGTAGAGCTCAATTAAATGTAAAAATTGACAATAGAATGGAGCTACAATTTAAACTGGAGATCTGCGTAGAGCTCACTGAGGTGGACTCAAATGATTCTGGACCTCAGCATGTCATCGAACCTCAATCACCAATATTTGGTGCGCATATTCTCGTTTCTTATTAAGAATTTATATTTTCATTTTTTTTATGGTTTTTTCTTATGTGTCTTATTTTCATCTTTGAGTTTTATTACTCATGTTAACTGTCATTGATAACCAATGTAATTGATCAGCAGGAAAAGAATATGTTTTTGCATGAGCAAATATTGGAAAATTCTGTGCACTGGAAAGATAAGAATAATCTTGTTGAGGACAGCTTTATGTTTGAATTGATTGAGCAAATCAAACAATCGTGCATAGCATTGTTTTTTATCTCTCTCTCTCTCTCTCTCACTCACTTACCTTTCTTTGGTTTTGACTTATAACAGCAGAGTGAATGGGATTGAGGAACCACAAACTTCTGCCTTGATAGGGTTGGAATGCGAGGAACCCGAAGGAAGCACCTGAGTTGGTATCTTCTTTTCCAGTGCATTTGATTTTTTGTTATTTGTCTGCAGACATGATGGATGCTTTTAGACAGTATCTTGAAATGAAAATACTTGTTTTAGTTTTTTTACCTAGAGATTTTTCTTTTCCCAAATTTCTGTTTCCAGAAAAAAAAGGTAAATAAAAGAGCCGACAGTTTCTGAAGGAGGCCCAGTTTGCAGTAACTGGATGTCGCTAGCTATAGTGAGCCATGTTAGCAGTCGATTGATGAAGGTGTGTATACATTATACTATGGCCAGATGCCATACAGGTGTTAGCATTAGGTCGTCATGAGAAGCCATAATTAGCAATGTTTTATTGCTGCCGTGTAATAGACTTTGGTAGGGCTGTATTCTTAGCATGATTGTGGGCTGCGTTGTAATTAATTCAGAACAAGTCAACAATTTTTACTTTGATCAAGCAATGGAAACAGAGACTGCTACTTTTGCTTTTGGCCAAAATCTCAGGAATTATGCTAACGTTAGTACCAACAGAAATCCAGCAGGTTCGATCCTAATCTTGGGGTTTTAGTTGTCAAATCACACTCACTCACACACATACACGTGCTGATGTATGTTGATCTAATTGACGGTTAAAACCAGTGGGGGCAGGATGAGATTTTTCGGGAAATCCACGTTGGGCTTGGGTGCTTTATTTTCAACAATATGATGAAAACTTACTATAAGACCTACGTTTGGATTGAGAGATTTAAAATCACTTGATTCGATTTTTTTGAAATATAATTTTCTTTTACTTTCAAACTCTTTGAATGAATTTGTGAAAGGATTATAATTTCATTGTCTAGTTCGCACCGATGGTGTTACTTGCTGTGTGTCGATATCCAATTTGGTCACGATTAATAAATAATTAGCATATGACAAAATAAATAGGTGATTACAATACACAATAAATGAGTGTAAAAGCAACAGGTCTTCCGAATTGAACTCGGGATACCAACTGGGTTCACTCCCGACCGGCTTAGATTATTCCCGAGGTGGCCCAGACCACATATGATGAACATATCCACCAATACCAAGATCGTCTACGTCAATCGAAGCTGTCAAGTGTCATAATTGGGTCTCACATGGTCACATCATATTGAATACCATTTGTATTATTTTAGGGAAAAAGAAAATTGCTGGCTGAAGAAAAGAGAACACGATGAGGTTTAAGAACAAAATACGGAAAAATATACCGAAAAAAACACGAGGACGATGCGGGCCGATGAGAAATTATGTTGAAGATACCAGAAAAACACGAGAACAATCAGATTTTTGCTCAAGAAAAAAGTTACACAAAATATAAAAAAAAAAAGAGGATGATCGATCAAATTAAGGTATATTTTTTCATTGAAAATTATGTATTCCTGTTTTGTTTTGTTTTTTTTAAGATACACACATATCCTGATATCACAGTCGACTACATATATATATTTAACATACATATACTGATTATATACTGATCATATACTTTTACATTTATCACAGTCGACTATGTATATATTTAACATACTGTACATATACTGATCATAAACTAAGATGTACGTGTATTGTACATATGCTTAAGTTTCAGATATCCTGTATAGTGATCAGGGAGCGGCGACCGAAGGAGTGTTTCGGTTCACAGCCTGCCTGCCGCCAACAAGTATCTGACCGCTTTCGTCCACAATTCGCGCGCCCCGAGAAAAACCCCAAACTCCGCTGCCTATCCTGTATAATGAAGACAACAATTTACACGCGAAGCAAGAGTTCATGCGTTTAACTGAATGCAAATTTATTTAGTGTTTTTTGTTCTCCCAGAAATATAAAGAGCGAAAAATGGAGGAGCGTACACAAGAAACAAGTTGAGCCAGAAAACTGTATTACTACTGGGATGGAAAGGAGCATAATTTTCCCTATTTTATCGGTGCAGAGGATGGTGGCGTCGGTGGAAATACGTATGAGATTTGGAGGAGAGAGAGAGGGAGGGAGAAGGAGAGAGGAAACTAAATCCCCTAAACTCCGTTATTTACCATGTTTAAAATTAAAAAGCTGGTATATGTGCAAATAATTATGATAATTTTTGGTAGGTTTTGCAAATATATATATATATATATACATATATATATATATATATATATAATGACTTTTAAAATTTTAAAATTAATATTACAGTTCAACAATTGACTCGAAAGTCTGTTCAGATCGATTTTCTGGCCGGATTTAAAAACTATAATTTTACTTTAGTAAATTAGTGTGATACGATGATTAGTTCGTGTATTAGCTAATNTTTCTTCTTCTTCTTCTTCATTTCATTTTTTTTTCTCTTCTCCTTTAATTGCTTTTTTTCTTTTTTTTTTTTCTTCGATCTTTTACAGGACTCGACGGTCAGCCGAGGCCGCTATTGATGTCACCGCGACTTCAGTCCCCAGCACCAGCCGCAGCCCTAGCCCTGAGCCCAATCGTGCTAATACCGTTTCAATCCATGGAGATAACACGGTGAATAAATTCGATGGCGATAATCATGCGGGCAATTACTTTTTTGAACGTGAATTGCTACCGAAAGGGAATTTAAAGGAAGAGGTGAATGAGGGGATGATACACTCAAGTTTCAATCGTTTCTCAAATCGAACCCACATATACATAAAATATACGTAAAATATACACTCAAGTTTCAATCGTTTCTCAAACCGAACCCACATATACATAAAATGTACATAAAATATACACTTGAGATTCTCGTAATTCAAGTTAGTAACAGATCGGGACACACATATACATAAAATATATATAACATATACACTCAATTTACGTGATCATGTATGTTCTGTAGAACCAAAATTCCACGTCTTTTTACCGAGCATGATAAGAACAAAATCTTAATTATTTGGTAATATAGACTTATCTTCTTCTTTTTTTTTTTCCAGTTTAACGTGATTGTAAGAAGATTGTTTTTTAATTAAACATGATAACTGATATTTAGGTAACTGATTCTATTTTATTACCAAATAACAGCAATAAGGCATGCATGCAATTAATATACACCACCTCGTATTTTTACAAATAATCTTGTAGTATGTTAAAAAATTCGCCAAAATTATTTAAGCGTTAGAGTTCTACGTGGAGACATCTAGACGCTGGACGGTTCAAAGAATATTGGTCCGAATCAAGATGTTTACACATCAATATAATTGGCTTAAAATATGTACTTTGCAATTTTAAGTTTGAAATTCGCGTAGTAGCATCGTTCTCTTAAAAGTTAAAACTAAAGAACCCACGTTCTTCTACAATAACCTATTCTTGTATTGACAGATGCCAATGAGGCGATGATAATGTTAAAAGTGTAATGAGACGTGTAAGAGAACCAAAGAAGCAATGTTGAATAACTGCCACGTGCTGCCACATCGCTAAGTATTAACAATAAAATATTGCCCCACCGCCACTATACACTAACTATATATATATTGTTCGGCATCCAATTCAATCTAATCTAATAGAAGCTGATAATTCAGAAATACAATCTTTGCATCAAATAGATGCCACATATTTGGGTTTTGCTTGTGTTAGCAGCCTTAGTAGTAGTGGTCGTGCTTGTATTCGTCGGTTCGATTAACGTTCAACAACACTAACTAGGGAGGGATGGTGATGATGGGCAGAAGGGTATTCTGGACGGTGGTCCTGGCCGTGGCCCTGGCAGCCGTTGCTGTGGCGGCCGTGGATAATAAGAACAATGAGAAGGAAGGCTCGGAATCGTGGACCGGATGGGCCAAAGACAAGATCTCGGAAGGCCTTGGCTTTAAGGAATCTGATGATGCTAATTCGGATGTTGCCAAGAAGAGCAAGGACAAGATTACTGATACAGCCACTGGTAATTAATTAATTAATTAATTACTCTCTTTGTTTAGTATTAAGTGTGTATTTTTAGGCTGTTTCTTTTTTTTTATTATTATTATTATTTATCGTTTTAGAATATATTTTTATTAAATATATAGTATAAGAAATTACTTGAAATGAAAGGAAGTATAAAAATAAAAACTTAAAAAGGAGAATTCTTGAATCACATACTTAGGAGCCGGAGAATTTGCGGGCAACATCAAGGATAGAGCAGCCGAAAAAGCACGGGAGGCCAAAGACAAGGCTGCGGAAGCCACGGAGGAGGCAAAACGTAAGGCCTCGGAAAAAGCAGCGGAGGTGAAAGACAAGGCCACGGAGGCCACGGAGGAGGCAAAGAAAAAGGCTTCCGAAAAAGCAGGGGAAGCCCAAGAAGAGGCCCAAGAGCACGCGGGTCGGGCCAAGGAGAAGGCTGAGGAGGAAGCGGGTCGGGCCAAGGAGAAGGCAGAAGAGCACGCGGGTTGGGCCAAGGAGAAGACCCGGCAAGGATACGAGGCAGCTAAGGAGAAAGCAGAGGAGGCTTACGAGTCGGCTAAGGATAAGGTGGCCTCAAACCTTGAGGCGGCTAAAGAAAAGTCCAAGGAGATTAAAGACAACGTTGTAAATGGTCATGATATTACCCGTGATGAAGAGCTTTGAGGAATTTGTTTGGTTTGGTTGGTCAGTCGAGTTGCTTGTCTTGCTTTACCTGTTTAGTTTGGTTAATTATGCTTTTGAGTTTTTGCGTTTAGTGTCCTGTCCTGGCTTGTGTGTGTAAGGATGTGATAATGTTGTCTCCGTCGTATTTTTGCATATTGTATAATTAATAAATCAATAGTCACGAACTTCATAATATTATGGTGTTATCTTCTCTAATTTAATTAGGCCACTTTTATTTGTTGGGGTAGGATGAGATGAGGGATTGGACAACTTTAATCCACTAAGTCCAATGTTTACTATACATTTTTATGAGATGAGGGATTGGACAACTTTAATCCACTAAGTCCAATGTTTACAATACATTTTTAAGGTAAGACAATCATAACTTTTTAAGTCCAATTTTTACAAAACATTTTTAAGGTAAAAAATAATCACGACTTAGGATAACTCAAAATATGAGTACAAGTGTGTGTAACCCAAAAATATGAGTACTGAGTGTGTGGAATCTACAATATAATTTTATATAGACCTTCGGTTAGCTGTTAGCCCTGTTTTAAATACCGTCGGTAATATCAGATATTGGCTATTGGTACGGTACAATTGCACACAAAATATCGGATTTACGGTAACATATCGATTTATATCGGAATCATACTGTAAATACAGGTTTAAAATACCGGTTAATAAAAAAAATAAAATAAAATAAAATAAAATTTATCAATGTAAAAACATAAAATTTAAATTTGTTTAAAATGTTTTAATTGAAATAAATTATTATGGTCATCTATTTTTTTATCTTTTTGCATTTAGTATTATATATTTTTATATAAATTTATATATAATATTTTTGCTAGTCCCATAATATCACTGATATTACCGGTCTGACTGATATTACCACGTACCAGTGGCTAGACCAGAATGACCACTGGTACGGCATTTAAAACACTGGCTGTTTGTTGATTGTATCGACTGTTTTGACAAGTGGATTATGTCAGTTGATTTCATCATCAGATTATATTAACGGTTTATAAAATAATATTTGGTAAAATCAATCTATAAAAATCATCCCAACTCACTATTTCTGATATATACTACCGGTTCAAATTTAAAAAAATCTATTATATTTTAATAATAGATACAATATCTTTTTTTTTCAACGGCATATTATATTAAAACTAACGCAAATTTACAAACAACCACTAATCTGAAAGAAATAACTAAAGGCAGAAAATAATGATGGCCTACAATTCTAGATGACTGTAGCCTAGAAGTCTAAACAAGACTAAACACAACCACACAAACTAAACAACTAGCAACACTAGAACACAAGACAGAAAGAAAAATCTCGTACGGGAGAAAAGAAACACAACCACAAAGCAACACAAACACACTAGCTAAACACACTCGGCACCTAGATAAAAAAACTAAAGTCCTCCTCGCCGGCTAGGATCACCCTGCACTTCAACAACCAAACCCAAACACCAAACGGGCCCACCGAGGAGGAAACGCACGGCCCACGGCCCGCCACAACCTCCTCGAGTAAACCGCAGACTTGACCTGGGCAAACCTCACCACAGCCCCTCCACGCATACTCCAGAACCTCGGCACTACTGTACCGTCTCCTTCGGTGGAAACGGCCTTCCCAACACTAGAAAAGGCCGAATAAGGGGAAACCAAGGTTCAGTCCACCACCCCGACACTGCAAGGCGGCCAATGGTGACTGCCGACCCAAAACACCGGAGCTTCAAGAACTCGAGATCCCACCATGGCAAATCGGAAAAGGTCAAAATCCACAGCGCAGAGAGAGAGACTGAATATAGCCAGAGCCACGTAGACGGCCCAGGACAAAATAAGATGCTGACCGGCATCGCTAGGAGAAGGGAGCCTCCGGAGAGGAGGCCTGTGCAGATAAAATGAAGAAAATGGGAAGGTTTACTATTTGGGATTGGGGAATTGCGGAGAGTTTGGTAGTAGGTGCATTGTGGAACATTCAATAATAAAAAAAATACAATATCAAATGCAATAAA